TGCACTGAGATTCCTGCTGCCTGTGCTGACGGTTGAGGAGAGGACACTAAGTGATTGCGGGGTCCCAATGCGCTGGGAGGCTGGAGAGAAAAAGCTACAAAGAATGGCTTTGGCCCCAGATAGCTCACTTGAGATGTTAGCAAGAACTGCCTCCTCAGTATCTATAACCATGACGAGGAGGAGGCCAAGGAGAGAAAACAAAGAGACAGAAAAAGCAGCTGCTTTTGCTGCAGCACTAAGAGAAACAGACCCTAAGTCTGATTCTTGGGACCCCAAGAAGATCTTGATGACTACATTCATCTGCTATCACTGTTAAAAGCCAGGCCACCTCAAGAGGGACTGCCCTAAGAAGCCCCCTGGGCCATGCCCTGACTGCAAAAGTGACCACTGGAGATCGGTCTGCCCTCTGAAGCAAAGGCCCCAGAGCTCAGACCCACCTTACCAGTTGGTCCAACAGGAATGAAGGGGCCCAGGGCATACTCTGCCTTCTCCCTCTGGCCAGACTATCACCTCCATGGAGGAGCCCTAGGTAATCATAACTATGGAGGAACAAGAAAACAGCCTGTTGCTAAACACAGGTGGAAGTCTCTTGGTCCTTCTCTTCAGTCCTGGCCTTCCTCCCAGCCATCACACCTCAGTGAAAGTAGTCACTGCTGAGGAGGTAATCCACTATTTTTCACAGTCCTTAGGCTGTAACTACTTGTTAGATCTTTCTTGCATATCTCTCTTTCCCCGAGAAACCACTTTGAAGATACCACCATGCATTACAGCAGCCATTGATATTTTCCTACTGCTCTGTCCATAACTCTATAATGTTTATATTGTTCCTATGCTATTTCTTAAATGGATGTATGTTTATTCCTATGTGTTTTCAACAACAACCATTGAGAACAGTCAATGATTATTCAATCGGTCACTCATGTATAGCTCGATTTACTGTCTTTAGAAAACATTTGGAAGATACCAAAGTGTAGTACAACGACCATTGATAATCTTCTACCACTTTTGTCTGTAACTCACTATTATTTGTCTGTTTGTTTTCCTGAGAAACTATCTTGAAGATAGCAATATGTAAAACAACAACCATTGATAATTTCCTACCACTTTGTCTGTAATTTGGTAAGACCCCCTATTACTATGTTATCTTTCTTTTACTCTTTAAAATAAAACAAAAAAAAACAAAAAAGGAGTCAACTTTTGACACACAAGAAAGTGGATGAAAAAGAGGTCAGAGGTCAGAGGTCAGAGAAGATAGGGTGGTGGGTCAGTGGTACAGTGTTTGCCTAGTGTGTGCAGGGGCCTGGGTTTGATCCCCAGTACTGCAAAAAAAAGAGCCAGAAATGGAAGATTACATGCTATATAATTTTATTGATATGAAATTCCTAAAAAGACATCTATAAGTACAGAAAACCAAACTTGCTCGCATAGGGCTGGAAAGGGCAGAGCTTTGCCTAAGCACATTGTCAGGCGATGGAAATCTCTGTTAGGTGGTTGTAGTGGCGGTTCCTAATTAGTCAAAACTCAATGACTTGCACACTTAGAATTGGCAGATTTTATTGTATGTCCATTGTACCTCTGAAAAGCTGATTATTAGCAATGCTCAGCAGTGTATGCTGTCATATCTCAGAAGGCATCTGAAGGAAACACTTAGAATGTGGTCAAGGATTTATGCCCAAGAATGACCTTCCAAGAGTTGGTGCAGAGTTATGCACTGTCCAGTTGGAGGGTTGGTACGTGCCTAGAATGGATTGCTGTGCAAACCTTTCACATAATTCATTGGCATAGAGGAGCAGCCATGACAAGCAGCCTACTGAAACACAAAGGTGGGCTGTGGTCACTGGAGGCCAGAACCTGTGCTGCACCCCAGCTCTGCCATGCAACCTCTGTGGAAGTGTTTTGCCTCTTGAGGTTCAGTTTTCTCATCTGTACAATGGGGACACCAGCAGTACTGATCGTATAAGTGGTTGTCAGGATTAAACGCATGACACCAGTGAAATTCTTGGTACCAGGAATCGAATTTAGGGCCTCACGCTTGCCAAGTAGGCACTGTGCCACTGAGCTATGTCCCTGGCACCAGTGAAATTCTTAACAGTTATGTGGCAGACATGTGAGAAATGCTAGCTGAGACTATTTCCTATTTTCAAAGTCTAGATACAGTAGAATAGTGCTGTTAAAACTCTATGTAGGGCTGGGGATTTAGTTCAGCGGCACAGCACATGCCTGGCAAGCACAAGGTCGTGAGTTTGATTCCTGGTACTGGGAAAAAAAAAAAAGAAAAAGAACTCTATGTAGAAGACCAAAATACACAAATATTCTTTTTAAAAACTTTTTTTTTTTCATTTTATTTTTGTCTTTTTTGAGACAGGGTCTCGCCATGCAGTTCAGGCTGGCCTTGAGCTCTCTTTGTAGCCTAGGCTGGTCTCAAACTCACAATGACCCTTCTGCCTCAGCCTCCCAAGTGCTGGGATTACAAGCATGCACCACCACACCTGGCTGCTTTATTTTTATTTTAAAAAGAATTAAAAAAATAACAAAATAACAACATAGACCTGATGGATTCACAACTGAATTCTACAAGAAATTTAGAGATGATTTAATGCCAATTTTTCTCAAACTCTTTAATGAAATTGAAAGGGAAGGAATTCTCCCTAACTCATTCCTGGAGGCAAGTATTACCCTGATACCAAAACCGAGAAAGACGCAACCAAAAAAGAGAACTATAGGCTAATCTCCCGAATGAATATGGATGCAAAAATTCTCAATAACATATTAGCAAAGAGTGCAGCAAATCATCAAGAAGATTATACATCATGACCATGTGGGATTCATCCCAGGAATGCAGGGATGGTTCAATATATGCAAATCAATTAATGTAATACACCATATCAATAGAGCTAAAAACAAAAATCACATGATCATCTCAACAGATGCAGAAAAAGCTTTTTAAAGTCCAACACTCATTCATGATAAAAACCCCACAAATATTCTTACAGTGGCCATGCTCTGTGAAGATGCAGTTGCCATTAAATTTCTTCCTCATATTTGTCTTCATCTTCTGATTTTCCTGTAGTAAGGATGCATTATTTGTTGGGGGTCAGAATTAAAACAATAAACATTGTAAAGAAGATTTCCCTGTGAATCCTTGAAATTCAACAAACACTCTGGAGACACAGCATTGTACTAAAGGTGGAGATGGTAGGAATATAAAGATGGGGGCTGTCATACCCTTGTTTTCTTTATCTTTGTACAATTTTTATGGGAATAAACAATTGAAAAACAGAAGCCAAAGAATTAAAGAATGAGACAGGCAGGAGGAGAAATTAGATTGGCAGAAGGTGAATGGGTGACAGAGGTGCTGTGAAAATACTGCAGGAGAAAATATCTGTTAGCTGGGAGCACGGGAGGGTTCTGTGAGGATGGCTGTGGCACTCTATGGTGAGCATGGCATGAGCAAAGTTGTGGAGGTGGGGGGGTGTGATCCATTGGTAGAGAAGGAGCTGGCGCTGAGCCTTGGCGAGGATATATGGGATGGGGCATATTGGGAAAAAAGAGCTGGGAAAGGTATAGCAAGGCGAGCTCATAGAAGGTTTTAGTTCACTGTTTGAAGCACTTACCATGTTCTAAACACACTAACATTTATGCAACTCCAAGGCTGGAACTAATTCAAGCCCCATCTTAAAGGGAAGAAGCTGAGGCATGGAAATATAAAAAGATTTGGTAAAAATCCCCACAGTGAGGAGATGGTAGAACTGGGACTTGAACCCATGCTGTCTGGCTCCAGGACCCCAACAGATGTCACACTGCAGAGGTCAAGCTGAAAAACCTGGGTATTTTCTCTTGGTGGTAGGAAGCCATGGGATGATTTCATATATGAATGAGGGAGTAACTTCAACCAGGACACAACCCTGTCTCTCCATCAGGATTATTGCATTCTTGCTCCTTTCTGCACGCAAAAACATTCAGAAAGAAACCAAGGGTGATCTCCTGGTGAGAGGAGAGGAGGCTTGGCTATAGCCCTTTAACTCTGACCCTTGAGGAAGAGCAAGACATTTCTGTTCTGCACTGTAGATTTCTTGTCTTAATAAAGACAGAGCTGGGAGAGGAAGGGGGAGAAGACAGAGTTCTTTTAATGGGGGGGGGAAGAAAACCTCTGAAATTTTATCTCAGCCTCAAGTGGAGATTAACCATGCCACAATATCTGTATTATTGATAACAATAATGATAGTGATTATTATATTTTATTTTTCAATCGTGGTAATTATTGTACATTAAATCATTAGCATTCATTATCCTTACAATGTATAATTAGGACAATGCTGGATAGATTGCTCTTGACTGTAATGAAGTTTTTATAATTGTAATTTATTGGCATCAAATTACCTTTCTTAAAACGAATCTGAACATCACTCTCTTAATTCTGGGGAGGGGGTGGTAATTATTGTTAATTAATGTTTCTTGTTTGTGCTACACAGGGGGAGCTGTCTGACCAATCCAGTGTTTTGTGTGTCTGAGGAAGTGAAGAAAGAATATCAAAGGATTCTGGGATCAGCTGGCTATCGCGGGCCGTTGTCCTCCTTCTGTTTCCCAGTCCATTTCCATCTCCCCGCTTCCCAAGCAGCAGCCACAGGGGGAAAATACCGAACCATTTCCCAGCATGATTAGCTGGGGAGACAAGAGACACCGACATGGAAGAGTTAAGCCAATTTGTTGCTGAGTGTGACAAGGAGATACATTTTTTCTTCTTCAGAAATGGCTGTATTGCTGGCCTTGCAGAAAGAACAGGGACGTTGGTAGTGGCTATTGGTTGTGTTGTTGTCTGTCGCTTTTTTTGTTTCGTTTCATTTTGTTTTGTTTTTCGGTTCCGGGAATTGAACTCACGACCTCACGCTTGCCAGGCAGGCGCTGTGCCGCTGAGCTAAATCCCCAGCCCCATCTGTCACTTTTGTCACGACGTTTTATACAGAGAGGCGAATCCTTCCCACTCTTCCCTTGCTGCTCTCAAAGATCTGATGAGTGGCTAAGGTTGACTTTCCAAAAATATGAATCCACATCTTGCTTCTAGAAAGGCTGGGTGAGGAATCTCAGGCCATTTGTTCCTGCCGTTGTAATGAGATGCTGCCTACCTCTGACTGGGTTGGACCTACAAAAATGGAGATTTAAAGGCTCAAATGGATCTGCCCGTTGGGCTGGTGATGGATGAAGGGACTCCTCCCCAAACGTGCTGACTAGGAGGGAGAGCAAAGTCACTGGTTTTCAGATCTTTGGCTGAGAACGCGGGCGTTTGTAAGGAGCACAGGCGGGACAGACTGAGGGTCCAGGGAGAGGCAGTGCCTTGGAGGAAGGACTGACTTGCTCATCATCTGTCACACACCAAACAAAGGGCAGCTTGTCTCTCTGCACCTACCAAAGCTGTAACTGGTATCAAACTCCCGAGCTTCCTATTGCTTCTCCCTGCTCAGACATGGGCTGTGTCGGTCACTCCTACCCTAGGCCACACATAAGTCCAGCCTGCTGCTCCGTTTGCTCCAATAGCTGATCTGTTTTCTGGGAAAGGATTGTGAGGCTTTGCTCAGATAGAAGGGGAGTCGTTTCATACCCTGAAGTCTTGAGGTGCTACTCCTCCTACAACCAGGCCAAAGAGATGCATGGAGTCTTACCTTCTCTGGCTTGAACAAGGACTCTCTTCTTGACTAGGACGGACCTGGTGTTATGTCATGGTGTGGGCCCAAGAGACACACAACCTCGTTATGTGTAAAGGGCTGTGCGGGTACCAGGTGCCTGGGAACACTTTAAGGGGAACTGAAATCAGCTTAGACACTTCTGCAGGCAGTAGAGGTGGGGTGGGCTCGGACCTATGGTCTGACTCCAGGGATCCAGGCAAGTTAGTAAAATCAGTACTTCGGGTTCAAATTAGCAGGTGGCAGGAGCGATGGCTAAAAGTTATTATTGCCTTCTCAGGGTTGCAAACCCTTTTGCTCCGACTTCCGGTGCTGAGCTTTTCAGCACCAAGGACAGAGGCAGGCGCCAGCCCTTCTAGGCTGAGAGCCACCGACCCCTAGAGAACTCCTTGGGGCCATTTTGTACCCGCCCCTGCCTCTCTGGGCGGCATCCTCTTTCTTACCTGTCTGGACAAGAGTTCTAATCCTGCACTGGCTGGGATCTTGTTCTAGCTTGGCCACTTATAAGCTGGAAAAAAATAAACTTGTTACTAATAGGGTTGTTTTAAACATTAATGAGATCTGACTTACAGAACAGTACTCAGCAGAAAGCACCCAATAAAGGGCAGTATTGTTATTATTCTGGAGGCCAAGTAAGTAGCCACTAATAGCAATAACAACAAGAGAAACCTCCATTTATTGAGTCTTTACTATGTGCTTGGTTCTGTCCTAAATACAGCAGTGTGAATGTATTATCTCAGCCACTACCCACAATATCCTTATTATAATGAGAAATTAAAACACAGAGAGGCTAAGGAACTTGGCCAAAGTCACACAGCTGGTGAGTGGTAGAGCTGGGACTTGAACCCAGGGAAGTGCGGAATTCACACGTCTGCTATTTTGCCACATGGCTTTAATGGTTCAGCTATGAGCAGTGAACCTCTGGAAACTATCATTACCATCATCAGGGGCAGCATAATCTATCTACCGGTGTTATTAACTAGTTCTCTTCTTCCTCTCACTTGTTTTGAGAGAACAGATTGCGACTGAGGGACAGATTGCGATTGAAGGGAGGTGCCATGGAGATGGGAAAGGCCACCCCTGAAGGAGGCATAGGGCACGGTGCTGGGCACCACGGAAGGGTGCAAGACGGGTCTGGGTGGCTTTGGGGAGCTCCATGGCCGGTAGGGTATGGACAGGTGCACAAATAGCCACAGCACCAGGTCTAAAGCAGCACAGGTAAGATGCCAAGTGCTGCAGGGAGCCGGGAGCGGGTCCCAGGGATGATTTTAGGAAGTTGGGGGGTGGGAAAGATCGAGACAGCGTGCAGCACAGAGATGCGGGCAGCCAAGGAAGCTGGGGTGGGCTGTGTTCCTTCCTCCTCCTCCTCATGTTCTCTTTCCTCCTCTTCTCCTCCTCCTCCTCCTTTCTTCTTCATCCGCTTCCTCCTTTTCTTTCTCTGTCTTCTCTTCCTCCTCTACCCGCAGCCTCCACCTTGGAACTTTTATAATCACTGATAGACTTGTTATTTGAGGGATCAGCCAGGGGCTCACGCATGAACCCCGTGAACCTCCCTTCCTCTCTGGTCTTGGACGTCACCTCCAGGCTGCAGCGGCGAAGCAAGCTGTGCGGAGATGGGGGAAGGTGTGCGATAGGAGTGCAGTACCTTGGTCCACACTGTGGTGCTGGGCTCCCTTCGGCAAGTACCCGGGTGTCTGTTTTCATCTCCATAAAATGAGAGCAAGCTGGAATCCTTTTGCCAGGGTTGTCAAGAAGGTTAAATGAAATAATCTACCTGCGTGTGTTTAGCATTGTGCCAGCACATAGTAGATGCTAAAAAAAAAGTTCACTTCTCATCTCCTTTAATTAACGTAGCTCTATATTTAAAATGGGGTCCACAGGTTCAGAGCAGGAGCAGCGCGTGGTGGGGATGTGCGGGCAGGAGAGTCGGGAGGCAGGAGAGGAGGCCGCACTCCCGATGGGCTGAGGATGGGCAGCGCAAATCTAATTTCTCCGCAAAAGCTGCAATTTGCCAGCCCTTTTAATTATTATTTTTTATTATAGATACAAATTAAAAATAAACTGTGTGTCTCACTCACAGCAGGGAATAAAATCGTTCCCTAATTGTTATCTTTGAATCAATCTAGCTTTCATTAGCTGTGCTTCCCGAGGTGTAATTGAGGTATGAGTGTCTGTGTGTGTGTGTGCAAATCTCCTTGGTTTGCAAGGAAGGCACCTACCTTGATTCAGAGCACCCAGCTTTCTCTTTCCAATTGCACTTTCTGCCTTCTTTGCCAAAGACTTTGAGGGGCAATAGATTTGAGGGACCTTGAACAGTAGGTTCCCATTTCTATCTCACTATTCCTAATTTTCCCCCCAAATCAGTGTATTATTGCCTGTAATTCCACCTCTCTGGGAGGCTGAGGCAGGAGGATTGCTAGTTCCAGCTCAGCCTGGGAAACTTAGCAATTTATTGAGACCCAGGGTCAGAATAAAATAATTTAGTAAAGGGGCTGGGATGCGGCTTGGTGTGAAGGCCCTGGGTCCGATTTCTAGTTCTGAGAAAAACAGTCAGTGTACCATGCATTTTGCTAAGGGCGGGGCTCGTGACTGGAAATCGATGCACTGGTCCTTACTAAGCTCAGTTTCTCCCTACATCTGCAGTGTGGACTGTGAGCTCTACCAGGGCTGGGGTTCTGGTCTGCCTTGCTCGCTGTTGTATTCCTAGCACCAAGACCGGTGCCAGGAACTCAACTGGTTCTCGTCATTTAATCCAAGCAGGTTGGGACTAGGAGCCTCTACCCAAAGGGTGTGACACACAGACGCATGGCACCGGGCACGGAGATAGACAACAATGGCAAAGCCATAGCGGTGCTTGCATGCAGGTGGCAAGAAGCTGTAGGCACCTGTTAGTACGTAGCGCAGCAAGACACAGCTCCTAACATTTCCATCGCTGATATCCCAGCTCAGGTGGGCAGCAGGACTCTGCTTGCCCTTAACTCATATTTAAATATTCGCTCTTACTAGACGTCATGCATTAAGCCTTTGTTGTCCACACTGATGTTTCACAAATGTCACTGCTAATTCTCAGGCACGTTTCCCATGCAGATTTTACAAAAGAGAAAACTGAGGCCGCAAGATCTAACATCATTTACCCCAGTTGCACAGCTGGCGAGTGATGGGCTGGGATTCGAACTCAGGTCTGCCACATTCCTAATGCCCTTGGTCTCTCTTCCTTCCCTTGCCATCTTCAACTCATTTATTTACTGCAAATAAGCAAATGAAGGACTGTTGGCGCCAAGTTTTAGATGAAAGGAAGAGGCGCAGAGAGCAGTGCTATGAGTTGCCTGGGGGAGGGCAGTGTTACACGTCACATGAAGGAGGACCTCTTCTGCGTCCCCAGCATGTTGGGTGTGGATCTCCACCAGGGCAGCACCTGCCTTTCTGCGCTGGGCGTCCAGTCAGACGGAAGTGTAGGAATGAGGACTTTGGAGAGAGAGAGAAAGAGAGAGAGAGGCAGAGACACAGACAGAGAACTGCAGATCTTGAATTTAACAAGTAAGTTTCAGATAAGGAGACCAGAATGGCCTCACTGTGCTTGCCGTGAGAAGCTCAGCAGAGGTCACAGTCACTAGCAAAGCGAGTTTTCCAGTGACCACTTGCTCATCCCTGTTTTGCACACAAAGTCTGTGAGCACCGGAAGTGTGTCAGATCTGCTAGAAGGGCCTCAGGTCTGCAGGAAGTTCTGGGGATACAGCAGGAAGCAAAAGAGCCAGCCTCTGCCCACAGGGGTCCGCGATCTAATCCAGGAGGGCGATTTCACAAAACCTTCCCAGCAGTATGAAACGTCTAACCGTGATCAAATGTAGGAGGGAGCAGCCAGGGAGTTACCTGAGACTGTAAGGAGGGGAGGCACTCCCCAGGGCGGCAGGTGGGTGCGTGTGTTCAGGAGAGTCGAGCTACAGGAGAGTTAACTAGGGGACACGATGTTCAGGCAGAGGACGCTGCTTGTGCAAACCACTCCAGGCAGCAAAGACCAAGGTCCCTTGAGAAACAGAAAAGCTACTGTTAATGCAGCTTAGAGAGCAGGAAGACAAATGTGCAGGGGCCAGCTGGGAGGCAACAGGGAGCCGCTGAAGGGCTTGAGGCCAAGTGTGAAAGGCGTGGAGAGCAGCATGGAGCTGGGAGGCCTGTGAAGTAGCTACTGCACCCGTCCAGGCACACAGGCACGGTGCAGAGAGGCGGGGAGCAGGTACAAGCGCCAGCGGGGAGCTGAACCCGTAGGTGTGGGTCTGAAGGAGCAGAAGGATACAGCAGAGAAGAGTAACTGCCCGGAAATCCATCGGAATACGTCGAAGAATTGCGCAGACATTATTTTGAGTGAAGGAAGCCGACTCACACGCATATGCAGTATATGAGTCTGTTTACACGGAGCTCAAGAACGGCAGAAACAGCTCGATGGACACAGAAGTGAGCCTCGTGGCCAACTGCTTTGTCCTGGCTGGAGACTTCGAGCCAGTGTGCTCAGCTCTGCGGGACTTCGGCAATCCTCGCAAAATGGTGAAGAATGAGCAACAGCAAGAAAATATAAATAAAGGAAACTTCTTGTTTCTAATAGATAAGCAGAAATGAAAAGCAGTGCCAAAAAAAGTGAGGAGGACAATTAAAGAATGGTTACTGTGCCTGGTGCGATAGTCCATGTCTGTCATCCCAACCACTCGGGAGGCTGAGGCAGGAGGTTTGCAAGTTGAAGCCCAACCTGGACAACTTAGGGAGACCTTGTCTCCAAATAAAAAATAAAAATGACTGGGGATGTAGTTCAGTGCTCGTTGGGTTCAGTGTCCAGTACAAAGGAAAAAAGGATGCTTAAAGATTGAGTCCAATAAACAGACACTGAGGCTAGCACTTTGGTGTTTTGATGTTCTGGGGACCCGTTCAGAAACGAGAGGTAAAGCTCCACCCCTGAGAGAGATGCTGAGCAGAGTGCGGGCAGGTGGGTGGGGCTCACCCAGAATCCCTCCCTCCTGGTAGCAGCTGGGTGACGAGCGCATTCATGGGTGTCCTTGCAATGTGGAAGCTTTAAAGGAGCAGTGTGGCATTTTATTGTCTGTCCACCTCCCTCCACTTCTTCTTCTTTCTCTTCCTCCTCCTCTCCTTTTTCCTGGGCTGAGGGTTGAACTCAAAGCCTTTACACTGAGCTGCGTCTCTGGCCTCTTTTGATACATGGTCTCATTAAGTTGCGAAATTGCCCAGGCTGGGCTCCAACTTGTGATCCTCCTGCCTCAGCCTCCCAGAGTGGTGGGATTACAGGCACAAGCCACCAGCTATTATTACTGTTCACAACCTTGTAACACCACAAGTGATTGGTTAGGACGAAATGCTGCCCAGTCACTGAAAGAAGAAAGAGTAAAAGACTCATAACTTAACATGTGGGTAGACCTGTAATACCCTAAAATGTCACTAGTGATTGTCTCTAATGAATGGTATTACAAATTATTTGTGTTTTATGTGACATTTTCTACTTGCTAAATTTTCTACAATGACTATTTTTTTCTAGAATAAAAATTACTACAAATATGAAAATAATTGCTTAAGAATAGCTTTAAATAAGATACAGAGTTGGAAAGGATAGCTCAGTGGTGGAGAGCTTGCCTAGCACATGCAATCTCTGGCTCTGCACAATAAAAAAAATAAACTAGGACAAGGTAAAATGAGCCCCACCCCCAGGGCTGGGATTGAAATCAGCACCCTACAAATGCTAGGCAAGTATTCTATCATTGAGCTACACCCTCAGCCCTTTTGATTATTTTGAGATAGGGTCTTACTCATTTGCCCAGGCTATCCTCAAACTTGTGACCCTCCTGCCTCAGCCTCCTGAGCAGCTGGGATTACAGGTGTGGACCGCTACACCTGACAGGTAAAGTAAGTTTACATAAAGATTTTTCCTCATGCTGAACGAGAGAACAAGGTCCAGGACTGTGTCTAGAACAACATAAAACACGTATGTCCTCTGTCCTCTGTGTTCTTTCTGGATGGTGGTTTAGAAGCAATCTAGAAACCTGCTTTACCCCCTCCCCAAATTTCTCCATTTTCTGCAGCGAGCATGCGTTTGTCTTGTAAGGAGTAACAGAATGCTTACAAAGCCAGGGCTGCAGCCAGTCTCGTCATGATTTGCAAAATACCTCCACCACTCTTGGCCACGGAGCTCTCTCTCCCCTCCTCTATTTTATTACCATATGAACTTGTCCTTCTCAGAAATCGAGTGGGTCTAAAATGAAATCCTAATTTGCAGTGTCTCTCTTGACTTGGCTGTCTGGAAAGATAGTGTCATCTTCCTGAAAAATACTCTCAATACGAATTACATGGTTTCAACCCAAAGGGGTAGAGCACGCAAGAACACAGACGCGAGGACTGGCCTGGCCCACGGCCGGATCTCTGTGACATTTATTCCAAGGACGCCACGCTCTCCCAGAAGCCACTGCGGCTGGGCGTGGCTCGGTGGTCTCACTTGTTCAGTGTGAGCAAGGCCTGGGTTCCATTCCCAGCACCGCAGGGCGAGAAAGGATGGGACCGGCCCACTGAGGGATGAACTTCCTGGGCGGGACACGTCTAGGAGAATGGCGTCTCCTGGGTGTCATCATGGCGGTGCTCCATGCACTGCCCTACTTCCCCATCCCCTGGTGACTCACTGTGTGCCATCTCCGTCTCTGTGGTGGAAGACGCGGCCCTACAACGCGTTACATCTTTGCTCCTGTGCCTGGGCACATCCAGCATCTGCCGTGCTCCCCAGATGGCCAGCTGCACAGGACAGGGGTTTGGGTCCATGTGGCCTACAGCAGTGCTTGGCATACAGTACGTACTCATCTAGTGTTTGTTGAATGAATAGCAGAATGAAAAAACCCACTTGAGCTGCTCACTCCCACTCTGGTGGGAAGAAATCCCAGCCTTTCATTCTCTCCCTCTTTAGCCAATTTGTCTGTAACTCAGAGGCTCATTGTGACTTTCACAGGCTCCTTCTTCCATTAGGAAAAAGAAAGTGCCTGTCATCCCAGCCCTCTGGGAGGCTGAGGCAGGAGAATTCCAAGTCTAAACCCAGTCTAGGCAACTTTGTAACTTGGTAAAAATCTGTCCCAAAATAAAAAGTAAAACAGGGACTGAGGATGTAGCTCAATGCAAAGGCCTTGGGTTCAATCCCCAGCACTAGAAGAAGAAGAAGAGGAAGAAGAAGAAGAAGAAGAAGAAGAAGAAGAAGAAGAAGAAGAAGAAGAAGAAGAAGAAGAAAATATATATATATTAACTGTGTTGATATAGTTTTGACTTCAAAAAGAAATTAACATGAAAACATTGTCATGGCCCTAAACACCGTGTTTTCTGCTCTTTCTGGTCCATCCCTCTCATTCATTCATTCATTCATTCGGCAAGAATTTGTAGAGCAGCGTCTCCGTGCCCAGGCTGGTGCCCGCGCTGGAGCCCCATGGCAGAAGCCAGCACTGCCCGACACCCTAAATCACTGGTGTTTTGGGGAAAAACAAAGGTTGAGCACACACATCAGGAAGAAACGTGCCATTTGTTCAAACATTGCAGATGGTGCCCACACATGTATGCATTTATTTATACCTTATGAATTAAAAGTTGTAAATCTCACATATTTATTGTGCATTACCTGGTTTTGAGGTCTTTTTTGTTTTTAAATTTCTTTTCAATATGGGGTTTGAACTAAAGGCCTTCGTACTGAGTTCAACCCAAGGATGGGCTCAAACCTTTGATCCTCCTGCCTCAGCCTCTTCCAGCACTGGGTCTTTTGAGAGCTAAGAACAGGTGCAGGGAGTGGGCTCTGGGGAAGAGGGAGGGTCAGGTGGGGGAGGGCCCCCCTGGAGCTCCAGGAACTTTGCAGAAGGGTGAAGAACAGCGTCCTAGGCAGAGGCAGGCAAGAGCAAAGGTCCTGAGGCGGCAGGACCCAGCAGGCATCTTTGAGAAGGAGGGAAAGGCAGAACCAGTTTCCCGTCAGCGTTAGGAAGCCACACCTCCTAAAGGGCCTCCGGGTCCCACCCCGACGCTTTGCAGCCTGGGTAACCGTGCTCCCGGTGGGCGCGGGCGAGAATCGGGAGGCCTGGTTTGATTAGATCACTGTCAGCCAGGGATAGGAGGTTAATTGCTATTCTCTTGTGAATCTGGCCTGGTCTAGCAGCGCGACTAGCGGGCCTGTGCACACGCGTGTGTCTTGCGCGTGCGCAGGGAAGTTCAGCCTGGGCAGGGGAGACCGTCGGGGCAGGGGCGGGGTGCGCGAGGCTTCTGTGCGGTTCTGAGCCTTGTCTTGTCTGGTGC